CACCGTCCGCGGATGCTCGGGCGAAAGAGGCGGGGCGGATGACCTCATCCCATGCGGTCTGCGCCAATCAGCGCCCTCCGCCCGCGGCTGCTCTGGGCAGATCGGGGGGTCTGGACCAACAGGAAGCGGCCCGGGCCGTCGCCATGGCGACCGGACAGCATATAGGCAGCCGCTCGCGCCCCGCCCGCAGGTTCTCTTACATCGACCGCCTAAGAGTCGCGCTGTGAGAAGCACAACCTCTCCGCTTCCTCCGTCCGCCCCGCGCCGCGAGCAGCGACCATGGTACGGAGCCGAGGGGTGGGGCGGCCCCCGCGGCTGCTCGGGGACCCTTGGGCCCTCGCCCTTTGCAGCTTCCGCGGGTGCGGGGCGCGGGGCTGGTCTGCGTGGGTGGCTGCTTTGTGCGCCGCAGTGCGGGGTGCGGGAGGACGGCGCCCGGGGCGCGGCAGCACCCGGAGGGGACCACAAAGAGGCGCCCGAGGGGCTTCTGCTGCCCGAGCCGAGCCCGCGGGGGTGGGCGCGGGAGGCGTGCGGGGCTGGGGGGCGCGGGGCGCCGGGCCTGGGAGAAGCGCTCTTCTCTGCAGTCGCGGGCGGGGGGCGTCGCCGGGCCGGGGGGCGCGGGCGAGGGACCGGGACGAAGCGGAGCCTTGGGGGCCGGGGGTCTGGAAAAAGAACCCCCGGATCCCGACGGCGGCGCGGAGTCCCGGCGGCGCGGGGCGGAGTTGTTTGTTTCTGGCGTCTCCGTCTTGGAGCCACTGGGCGGGGTCCGCCCTCGCCAAAGCTCTGTCAGGAGGCTTTTAATAAAAGGCTTTCATCGTTGCGGAACTGTAGGTGTTAAAAGGATTTTCGTTCACTGTTAAAACTTAGATGAAATATTATTTGCGGAGGAGCAAAATCACAACGCATTTGACGAGCCCTTTAAAGTCTGGTCCAGGGAAACGCCCTTCCTTACCCCCCCCCCCCCCCCCCCGCCCCGTGTCAGTGAAAAGACAATGGAGTCGAACCCTTAGAGCTCATAATCCCTGTTAAATGAGAGAAGGATCAATAGTCTGTGGTGGGTAGAGAATCTCAGAATGAAAAGACTTTTTTGTTTTAAATATTTCATTATCCTTTCGCTGGACTTTTTATTCTTTGGTAGTTTTTCATGTGATGTTTGTTTCTAATTTAGAGACTATTATTTTAAAGAAACTAATAATTTTTCAGTTTTTTGCAGTGGAGAAGATTCTGGGGGAAATTTTTTTATTAATAAAGTGAAACTGCTGCGGACAAAGAATGATACTCTGTCCAGCTGTCTTTTGTTCTACTGCATCTTCATTAATTCCTTTCAGTTTAGGCATATGGTCCCAGCCTGGGTCAGAAGAGGAAACCAGCAGAATAGCACAATGAGATCATGTAGGCAGTTGCTGGAAATAGAGCATGCTCTGTTAAATAATGCAGCAGGCAGTGCAGGCTAGCACCAGGCACAGCACAGGCGGCGGTGCTAGAGGCAGACCTTGGTTAGCGCCTAACCTCCCTCATACTGATGGGTTCTGCAGAGACTGCAGAAGGGTGTGGCTTCTAAGTCTCAGCTGCAGTACAGATGTCCACGTTGAAATACCAAGTCATGTTTAGAAGAAACGCACAGCTTTATTTAAAGGGGAAGGAGTAATACTGATTCCAGTAAATGATTGGATTTAATTTACTTATTTATAAAGGCTGTACTTTGAATTTTTTTTAATATGTGAAAAATCTTTTCATGGCTATGGGAACAATGGGCTCGTGCTGTGCTGAACAGACCACACCCATGTGCAGCATTTCCAGCAGGTTCTTTTCCTTAATCATTTCTATCCTGTTAGGAATAGGACCTCAATAAATTTGAATAATGCCTGTATAGTCCTAGACCTTTTTACAAATTTACTGCAATTTTTAAATGTTAACAAAACTAATTTTAAAATTTTTCTCTTTCTCCTCCCACAGCGTGAGTGCATCTCCATCCATGTTGGCCAGGCTGGTGTCCAGATCGGCAATGCCTGCTGGGAGCTCTACTGCCTGGAGCATGGCATCCAGCCCGATGGCCAGATGCCCAGTGACAAGACCATTGGAGGAGGAGATGACTCCTTCAACACCTTCTTTAGCGAGACCGGCGCTGGCAAACATGTGCCCAGGGCAGTGTTTGTAGACCTGGAGCCCACAGTCATTGGTGAGTTGACCTGAATAACCCAAGCAGGATGAGAACCAAGTGAGTGGGATCAGAGGTGTGTCCTGGGGGCTCCCCTGACAGCCTGGGTGCAGATTGTTAGTGATGGGGCCACTTGTTTCCTTTTCCAGATGAAGTTCGCACTGGCACATACCGCCAGCTCTTCCACCCCGAGCAGCTCATCACAGGCAAGGAAGATGCTGCCAATAACTATGCCCGAGGGCACTACACCATTGGCAAGGAGATCATTGACCTGGTCTTGGACCGAATTCGAAAGCTGGTATGTTCTCAAAAATAAAGTTCAGTAGTGAGCCTAAGGAAAACATATTGAAATATGCTCATTTTTTCCAAACACAGAATTGATAGGTAATAAAAAGATGCATTATTCCTTTATAGTTTTTTAAATTCAAATTAAAATATGAACTGTTTGGTATCATTTAATAAACATTGAGGAAGATATTTTTAACCAAGAAATGCTGAGTAGTTCCAGGAAGACTTAACATTTTTAAAAACATATTGCAAAATAACATCTATATCCTTGAAATTATATGAAAAGAGAAAATGTATTCAAAATGATTGTATCACAGAAAGCCTTAATTATGTTTTCTCTGTTCTTTTCCAACAGGCTGACCAGTGCACAGGTCTTCAGGGCTTCTTGGTTTTCCACAGCTTCGGTGGGGGCACTGGTTCTGGGTTCACCTCCCTGCTGATGGAACGTCTCTCTGTCGATTATGGCAAGAAGTCCAAGCTGGAGTTCTCCATTTACCCAGCCCCCCAGGTTTCCACAGCTGTAGTTGAGCCCTACAACTCCATCCTCACCACCCACACCACCCTGGAGCACTCTGATTGTGCCTTCATGGTAGACAACGAGGCCATCTATGACATCTGTCGTAGAAACCTCGATATTGAGCGCCCAACCTATACTAACCTAAATAGGTTGATCGGTCAAATTGTGTCCTCCATCACAGCTTCCCTCAGATTTGATGGAGCCCTGAATGTTGATCTGACAGAATTCCAGACCAACCTGGTGCCCTACCCCCGCATCCACTTCCCTCTGGCCACATATGCCCCTGTCATCTCTGCTGAGAAAGCCTACCACGAACAGCTTTCTGTGGCAGAGATCACCAATGCATGCTTTGAGCCAGCCAACCAGATGGTGAAATGTGACCCTCGCCATGGTAAATACATGGCTTGCTGCCTGTTGTACCGTGGCGATGTGGTTCCCAAAGACGTTAATGCTGCCATTGCCACCATCAAGACCAAGCGTACCATCCAGTTTGTGGACTGGTGCCCTACTGGTTTCAAAGTTGGCATCAATTACCAACCTCCCACTGTGGTCCCTGGCGGAGACCTGGCCAAAGTGCAGCGGGCTGTGTGCATGCTCAGCAACACCACAGCCATTGCCGAGGCCTGGGCCCGCCTGGATCACAAGTTTGACCTGATGTATGCCAAGCGTGCCTTTGTTCACTGGTACGTGGGTGAGGGCATGGAGGAAGGAGAATTTTCTGAGGCCCGTGAGGACATGGCTGCCCTTGAGAAGGATTATGAGGAAGTTGGTGTGGATTCTGTTGAAGGAGAGGGTGAGGAAGAAGGAGAGGAATACTAAAAATGTCACAAAGGTGCTGCTTTTACAGGGAAGCTTATTCTGTTTTAAAAATTGAAATGCGGTCTGATCAGTTAATTTGTATGTAGCAGTATATATGCTCATACACAATTACTGACCTCTGCTTTAAAACATGACACTTTGTTATAGACCCCAGCTGTCCATTTCTGTAATGAATTTGAATAAAGTATTCCCTGTCTTAAATGAGTACAGTCTTGTGTTCTCTTTTTGACTATCTGAAGATTTTCATATATTTTGGTATGTTAAGGCTGTGATTTATACATATCCTATGAAGTAACAATTTTATTTCACTTTTAATTATCCTAGTATACATCAAACAAAGTAGAAAATATATACCTGAAAATTGCTATTAGATAACAACCATGCTATTTTTTTTTTAAGATTTATTTATGCATACAAGAACTGGGTTGTAAGCCAGAGGTGGGAAAAGGAGGCTGTGAGAGATTCACCAGAGACAGTGGGGAGCAGAACAGGCAGATCTACTGAAATACACTGATGAGGTGAGCAGCAGGTGAGGCAGGAGAGGTCTGCTGTGCTATGTGGGTAGTTCCCTGGCTGACCTGCTTGCAGTGGCTGTGGATAGCTTCATAGTGTTGGGACTTAAACCCAAATACCACCAGGGAGGCCCCCTAACCAAACTTGAAATGTATTTGTAAGCATTGGCTAGACCAACATGTAACTGTCTTACATAATTAAATAATTAAATCAAGTGGAAATATCAGTAAAACAAGTGATTGTATAGCCATAGTAAGGTATAGCCAAAGAAAGGAACTCCAAAAAGATTCATTTCAGTAATCAAATTGGTAGTAATAATGCTGGTATTATTAGTTTGAAAATATAGAAATCAAAATTTAAACATAATACAATGAAAGGTTAGCAGTATATAAGATACTGCAGAAGAGTAATGAAGATAGAATAAAAATTATCACAAAGCAGAACAAAAAATGAGAAAAATGAACAAATATATTACTAAACAAAACAGAAGCAGACTGAAGATGACTCAGCATTTTTAAAGTTTGTAAAGTTTTAAGAATGAAATTTTAACCTTTAGTATATTTTCTCAAAAACTTTTGAACATAAAATACTGAGTAAATTTAAATTTTACAACTTATTAGAGATTTTTTAAGACTAGAATTTCATAATAAAACTTTATGCTTATGTTTTTAATTGTAGTAAAATATACATAGCATAAAATTGATCATATTCATTTTTTAATGTACAGTTTAGTAGTACAAGTGTTTTCATGTTTTTCTGCAACCAGTCTCTGTTCATCTTAACACAACTAGAACTATATACCCATTAAACAAGTCCCCTTTCCCCCTTTCCCCTAACCTTTGGCAATAACCATTGCATTTTCTTTTTCTATGAAGTTAACTATTCTAGAATCAGACAGTATTTAACTTTTGGTGATAAGCTTATTTCATTTGGCCTAATAGCTCAAGATTTGTAGATGTTATATAGCATGTGTCAGAATTTCCTTCTGCCAAAGAATATTCCATTCCATTCCATCCATTCATCTGTCAATGGACATTAGGGTTGCTTTCACATTTTGGCTTTTGTGAATAATGCTGCTGTAAACTTGGGTATACAAATACCTCTTCAAGGGCTTCCCTGGTGGCCTAGGGTCTAAACCTCAGCACTGTCACTGTGACAGCCTGAGTCAGATCCCCAGTCAGGGAGCTAACTCACATATGGTGCAGCAGATTCCCTGTGTCTATGGCTGCTCCCTTTAGCAGCATACTTCAGTAGATCTTCCTGTTCTGCTCCTCACTGTGTCTCTGATGAATCCTCTCATCCCATCCCTGCACCGCCATACCTCTGGCCTACACTGCAATTCTTCTACACAAAAATAAATAAAATCCTTTTTAAAAAATTACATATATACATATATATATTTTCCAGACCTTGTTCTCAATTCTTTTAGGAATACATCCAGAAATGGAATTGCTGGATCATATGGCAATTCTGCTATATTTCATAAATTTGAGGACCTGCCATACTGCTTTCCATAGAGGTGACACTGTTTTAGGTTCCTCCCACTGTACAAGCTTTCCACTTTGTCCATATCTTTGCCAACGTTGTGAGTGTGCATTTTTCTGACAGTTGCCATTTTGATGAGTGTGAGATGGAATCTCTTGACTTTGATTTGCATTTCCCTAGTGATTACTGATGTTCAATATATTTTAATGTGCTTACTGGCCATTTAGATATCATCTTTGGGTAAATATCTATTGAAGTCCTCTGCTCACTTTTCAATTGAGTTCTTAATATTGAAACACTTTTATCCTGCTCTTTATTTTATTTTTTTAAAGATTTATTTATGCATACAAGAGCTGGGGTACAGGCCAGAGGTGCTGGGGGTGAGAGGATTCACCAGAGACAGAGTGGAGAACAGAACAGATGGAGTGAATGAAATACACTGCTGAAGGGAGCAGTGGGCGAGTCAGGAGAGGTCTGCTGAGCCATGTGGGTAGCTCCCCGACTGGCCGGGGATCGAACTCATGTTGCAGAAGCTGTGGATGCTTCATAGTGCTGTGCTTAACCTCTTGTGCCACCAGGGAGGCCCTTGCTCTTTAAAAAAAAAAAAAAAAAAAAAAAAAAAGATTTATTTATTTATGCATACAAGAACTGGGGTATAGGCCAGAGGTGGGGGGCTGGGGAGAGAATTCACCAGAGACAGGTGAGGACCCACCACCCAGTGTTTGTTAAGTTTCATGCCATCACCAAGCACCAGTAATCCTCCACCATAGTCCACTGAGCCACAGCCCTCCTTGCCCCCCCCAACCCCCATAACCTTAGTTCTGCAGTTAGATTTCAAGGGTTTGTTTTGTTTCTGTCTGTTCCTTTATACACAAGTGAAATCATGCAATGTTTGTCTTTCTCTTACCATAATCAACGTTAGAACATTTTCATTACCCTCACAAAGAAATTTTACAACCTAAGTAACACTAAGCCTAGGCAACCACTACTTTTGTGTCAATCTGTTTTCCTATTTTGGACATTTTATGTAAAATGGATCACACAATATGTAGGCATTTGTAACTGACTTCTTTCTTTTTTTTTTTTAAAGATTTATATATTTATGCATACAAGAGCTGAGGTACAGGCCAGAGATGCGGGGGGTGAGAGGCCCCACCAGAGACAGAGTGGGGAACAGAACAGGCAGACTGACTGAAATACACTGCTGAGGGGAGCAGCGGGCAAGTCAGGAGAGGTCTGCCTCGCAGTGTGGGTTTCTCCCTGGCCAGCCGGAGATCGAACTCGTGCTGCAGAGGCTGTGGATTGCTTCATAGTGCAGTGCTTAACTCCTTGTGCCACCAGGGAGACCCGCTAACTCCTTTCTTTTTTTTTTTTTTAAACCAACTAAAGTAGATAAATTTTGGAAATATTTCCATTTCAGATCCAAATTGTTACAGGAAATGCTGATAACGGCACAAAATTTTAGAAGAGCGATTTTTTAAAATTTTGTTACTATATAATTCACATACCATAAAATTCACCCTTTAGTGTGTAATTTTAGTATACAGTTTGCTTTAGTACATTCACTAAGTTGTGCAATCATTATCTAATTCATAACATTTTCATCAAGTTACCAAAAACACTAAACTCTGTGTCCATTAGCAGATACTCTCCCCCTTCAGTGACCCCACCCACAGCAAATGCACGGCATGGCAAACACTATTTTCTGTTCCCATGGATTTGCCTATTCTGGACATTTTGCATAAACTGAATCATATGTGTAGCTTCTTTCATTTAATGTGATATTTTCAAGGTTCATCTATATATTTTGGCACATCTCAATATTTTTCTTTTTGTTGATAAATAACATTCCACTGTATGGATATATATTTTATTTATCCACTCATCAGTTAACGGACATTTGGGTTGCTTCCACTTTGGGGCTATAATGAGTAGTGCTGTGGAGGATAGCAGAATTTGACATCCCTAAACATGCACTTTGGCATAAGGATTGTTTTGAACTGAATGCAAAAAAAAAAAAAAAAAAAGGCCTCCCTGCTTTTCCTCAAACCAGGCATTTATATAGAAGTTAATCACTACAAAATCCTAAACACTGATCAGCTACATGACCCCACCAGAGTATTCTACATAGCAAACTTTACTGACTCTTCAGGATATTTAAAATAGCCTGGTGGCACAAGGGGTTAAGCACTGCACTATGAAGCAATCATCAGACTCTGCAGCACAAGTTCAATCCCCAGCCAGCCAGGGAGAAAACCACATGGTGCAGCAGACCTCTCCTGTCTTGCCCACTGTTCCCCTCAGCGTGTATTTCAGTCAGTCTGCATAAATAAATCTTTAAAAAATAATAATAAAATAGCTACCCAAAACATCACCTGCTACCATCTTCCATTAGTTTCCCATATACTTGTTCTCCTATAGTGTGCCACCTTTTCCTTTGTCTTGTCAGTTCTTGAAAGGTTTGTTTTTCCTTTGCTAACACCTGACCAAAATTTAACCAAATCTTTGAATTATTACTGTCCCTGAATTTCTTCCATATACATGATCTACATGCTAATAAGCTGCTCTTTGTTTTTCTCTTGCTAATATGTTTTTTGTTAACATCCCCAGTCAGGCCTCCCTGATGGTATAGGGGTTAGGTCTCTGTACTACCTATGGCTGGGATAGCGTGAGTTTGATCCCCAGCCAGGGAGCTGACCCATATGGTGCTGTAGAGCTCACTTGTCTTGTCCACTGCTCCCCGCTCAGCAGCGTATTTCAGTAGATCCACCTGTTGTGCTCCCTACTCTCTCTCTAGTGAATCCTCTCACCCCCATGCACCTCTGGCCTGCACCCCAGATCTTGTATGCATAAATAAAAATGAATTAAAAAAAAGATCCCCAATAAAGAATCTAGAAGGATTCTGTTGATACTGGGCAAAACTACAGGGAACTAAAACTGACAAAAGGAGAAGCCCAGGGGTGCCCCAGGAACCCCAAACTGTGAAGAGGGAAAAAGCCATGTTGCCTGTTCTAGTGGTTTGTGCCGCCTGCACATCAAAACAAAGTATTCAGCCTCTAGTGTGCTGAAGGAATTTTAATCCAGGGAAAGAGAGACATGGATGGGGAGAGAGAGGATGGAGGAGGGAGGGAGGAGGAAGAGGAGGAGGAGAATCAGGGGGAGAAGAATTTCAAAATACAAGATTTCAGAACAAGATCTGCTATCACCCATCCCTTTTTGAGCCAAAGTTCAGCTAAACAGGCAGGGCCCAGAGCCAAGTAATCAAGGCCACAAAGCAAAGCAGTCACAACAAATCAAAGGCACTTCCCAGCAGGAACCATAATCAAGGAGTTAGGTAGGTTCCAGAGAGCTAGGAAAGGGGTAATAATGCTGCCCAATCTGAATCCACCGAGATGAGGGTCATTGTCTCTGAGGAGAGCTGGGTTCTGTTGCCTGCCAAAGCTGCAAAAGTAAAAAAAAAAAACACAGGAAAAGCTTCCACCCCTATCCCACACCACTTCTCCCTCCTTCCCGGAAGTGGTCCCCCATTCAGGCAGTCCTGTTCACTGGCATACCGGGAGTTGTAGTCAGACGGTGGAGGTGCAGAGGTAAGGGTGGAGTTGGTAGGGTCACACTCTGGTTCGGAGATCCAATGCCAGTCTACTTCTAACACTATGAACATTGGTGTATTCTAGATACAAGTATCCTATAGTACCTATGACTTGCAAACATTTTCTCCCATTCTGAAGGTTTGTCTATTTACTTTCTTGATAGAATCCTTTGAAGCACAGAAGTTTTTGATTTTGACAAAGTCCAATTTATATTTCCTGTTGTTGCTCATGGTTTGGCTGTTGTTTCTAAGGCTTTGCTTAAAACCAAGGTAATTTTCTTCTGAGAGTTACACAGCTTTATCTATCACATTAGATCTGTGATCCCTTTTGAATTAATTTTTCTTTTTGTGTAAGGAAGGAATTGAACTTTATTCCTTTGCACATGAATAGCCAGTTGTCCCCATACTTATTGTTGAAAAATTATTTTTCCCTCATTGATTTGTCTAAGAACTCTTGTCAAAAACTTAATTGATCATAAATGTGAAAGTTTATTTCTGGACTCTCAGTTTTGTTTTTGTTTTTTTTAAATTTATTTATTCATTTATGCATTAAAAAAACTGGGGTATAGACTGCAGATGCCAGAGAGTGAGAAGATTCACCAAAGACAGAGTGGGGAGCAGAACAGGTAGTTCTACTGAAACACTGCAGTGGGCAAGACAGGAGAGGTCTCCATTACAGGTTATGAAGAAAACAAAGCAAAGAAAAATATTCTGGGCAAACGTTTTGAAAATACATACCATCTGTTATGGAGAGTATTTGGTGAGGTTGCATGTAAACGTTAAAAAAAAATACCAGAAGAGCAAATAAAAATACTGTCCTACTGTTAAAAAAAATGTGCTAAGAGGAACTAGAAAGCAGGTTGAGGGGGGGAGAAGAAATGGAGGGGGTGTGCTATTTTACAAAAAGAAGGTGAAGGTGTTTGAGGTGATAATATTGAAAAAATATTAAAAGATAACTTTTTTTAAAATGAGGGAGTAAAGTTCTCAGGGAATAGCAAATGAGGTAAAGGGAGTCAAGAGTGGAAAGCCTTGAGGCAAGTAGCATACTGTGTTCGATAAGGCTAAATGCAGCTGAAGTGGAGGGGGAAATGCTATAAAATGAAGTCTAAAAGGTAGCCAGGAACCAGACCATGTTAGAATTTTTTAGAACACTGTGAGTATTATGAATTATTATAAGAATGGAAAAAACCCTCCAAAATGGGCATGATCAGAGTTATATTTTTGAAGGATCATTTTTAAAAAAACAGTGCAAGCACAGAAACAGGGAGAGTTCCAATTAGACTATTTTTGTGCCTGGGAAAGAGATGACAAACAATTCAGGATATATTTTATAGACAGAGCTGGCAGGATCTGTTGATGTATTAGATGATAAATATTAAAGAGGTGGTGATGAAGAATAATTTGAAAGTCTTTGACATAAACAACTGGATGAACAGAGAGAACATTTATTGAGATGTAAACAGATAGCAATAGGAAGAAGAAAAGAACAGGTATGTACATGTATGTGGAGACAGAATTCAAGAATTCAAAATTCAAGACGATAAATTGGAGAGTCACATGTAAAAGAATGAATGTAGGCTCCCAGTCACAAAAATTAACTTGAAATGGATTAAATATTTAAATGTAAGAACTGAAACCACAAAACTCTTAAAAGAAAACATAAGAATAAAACTCCTCAACAAGGTGTTAGCAATGACTTTTTGGATAGGACACCTAAAGCAGAAGCACAAATATAGAAAATAAGTAACCCGGACTATAGCAAAGTAAAAAACTTCTGCACAGCAAAGGAAAGCAATAACCAAAATGCAAAGGCAACTTATGGAATGGAAAAAAATATTTGCAAATCATCAATGTGACAACGGTTTAATACACAAAATATATAAAAACCAAACAATTCAACAGCAAACCTGTTTGCTTTGTTTGTAGGGTTCCAGAGACCTCCAAAGAAGGTGAGGAAGCTTGCCTCCATTGGCAGGACTGGACAACCCGGCCAACGAAAATGCCCTGGTACCCTCGAGAAGAGGAAAGCCCAGGTGGAGTCTGATGAGTCCAACTTTATACCTGAAGCATACATCGACTGGATGCCACCGGTTCGCTCTGATCCTGTGTGGAGTATTTCAACAAAGCCATCTAAAAATTGCTGTTAGTTATTTTCTGCCCTGTGATTTTATGCAAAAATAGGAAAAATGGTTTAAAAGTAGATTTAGTTTGCAAACTTTTGCTATGCTGTTAAAAGTTTGGGATCAAGGTTGAGAAAATTTGTGTTTTACATAAGTTGAACCATTTTAACATTTTTTCCCTGTGATTTTGATATATTTGCTATCTTGTTTTAGCCAATGCTCCAAATTTTTTCTTTTGGCTTGGATAATGGACTATTTTTAAGTAATGAAACTCATACTGGACATTCATGGACAATGCTGCTGACTAATTGTTGCTTCTCTTACACACATTGTAACCCTGAAAAAAGACTGTCTCCTAAGATTGCACCATGAGATCTGTGCCACCATAGATATGGTGGAATAAAAATTAAAAGGGGGGATTGTAACAGGGTGGTTCCCAGGAAAGGGGGAGGTTCCCTGCCCCACCCAAGGGAGGGTGGAGCTGAGCAGGAAGAGGAGAAGCTGAAGAAGAGACTGAGGAAGGAAGCAGAATGGAGTCAGAAGGAGACCTGGAGGAGGCGCATGGAGCCTAGAGACACGTGAAGAAACTGCGCTTGTCTTCTGGTCGTGGACTGGGTGACACAGATGTGGGTGAGACCCATGGGGAGGTGACAATGGCAGCTTTTATCTTTTTTTTTTTTTTTTAAATAGAGGCATTTATTTATTTATTTATTTATTTATTCGTTTGTTCGTTTTTTTGTTTATACATGCACTGGGTACAGTCAGAAGCACGGGAGGGCGAGAGAATTCACCAGAGCCAGAGCGGGGAGCAGAGCAGGCAGAAGGACCGAAGTACACTGCTGAGGGGAGCAGCGGGCGGCAGGAGAGGTCTGCGCGCCATGTGGGACCCTCCTCTGGTGGCCCGGGAGCAGCCGGGGATTGAACCGGCACCGCAGAGACTGCGGGCAGCTTTGCAACCCAGCGCTCAACCGCTGCGCCACCGGGGAGGCCCGGCAGCTTTTATCTTGATGTTGATTTTGCTCTTTTCCTTCCGGGCTTGTCCGGTTGTTTCTGGCCCTTTTCTGTGGGTCCCCACTGGAAGATGCTTTAGACTTGTGGCAGGCTTTGGGGCCTTGCTCTGGGCCAATCCCATATGGATGGACTTTTACCCACGAGGGGACGGGTAACTCTGGATGCTTCATTTAGAAACTAGACTCTGCCTTACTTGTATTGTTTCCTAGTTTTATTAAAGTTCCTTCCCATTAAAGTCTCCTATGTTTTGTGTTGATGCGGCGGATGGCAGAACCCATGTAGAATAGGCAGGTTTGCGGGGTTTGGGCTGCCCTCTCCCTGCCCTATAACAATATGACTCAGGCACTGGGACTTAACCTCTAGGCCACCAGGGAGGGCCCTAGCTATTTTTTTTAAAAAGATGAAATCTTACCTTGTTGACCTAGTTGGGTTTTATCATGGCAATTCAAGGCCATTTTTTTTAAAGACTTATTTATTTATGCATACAAGAGCTGGGGCACAGGCCAGAGGTGGGGGGGTGGGGGGTGAGAGGATCCAACAGAGACAGAGTGGAGAACAGAACAGGTAGATTGACTGAAATACACGGCTGAGGGGAGCAGGGGGTGAGACAGGAGAGGTCTGCCTCGCCATGTGGGTTTCTCCCTGGTGGGCCAGGGATTGAACTTGAGCTGCAGAGGCTGCAGATTGCCTCACAGAGTAGAGCTTAATCCCTTGCGCCACCAGGGAGGCCAATCAAGGCCATTTTAATCAGCATAACTTGCCACATCAACAGACTAAAAGAAAAAAAATCAAAGGAGGATCTCAACAGGGACAGAACAAACATTTGTTGAACTTCAACATTCATTCATGATAAAACTTTTATCAAAGTAAACTTCTCTTACATACCTGTAGAGAAAAACTACAGCAAACATATTTAAAGTTGAAGCATGAAAAGCATTTCCTTTGAGAACACGAACAAGGGAAGAATGCTCATTATTACTTCTTTCATCACTCTAATGAAGGTCCCAGGCAGTAAATTAAGAAAGGCAAATAAAAGAAATAAGGAATGCAAAAGAATACACATACATTCAAATTACATGATTGTGGCATAATGAAAAAAAATTTTTTGGTCTTTTTCTCCTAGTTCTTGGAAAAGAGTTCTTAAAATTCTTGGAACATCACGAGTGAAAAAGTAAGAAGACTATCTTTTGTATGTTAATGAGATTACTGGTGGTTGAGGGGCTAGATCTCTTCAGAACAGAAGCTGAAAGTCCAATGAAATTCCAAGTCTTGGGCCTCCCCGGTGGCGCAGCGGTTGAGCGCTGGGTTGCAAAGCTGCCCGCGGCCTCTGTGGCGCCGGTTCGATCCCCGGCTGCTCCCCGGCCACCGGAGGAGGGTCCCACATGGCGCGCAGACCTCTCCTGCCGCCCGCTGCTCCCCTCAGCAGTGTACTTCGGTCCTTCTGCCTGTTCTGTTCCCCGCTCTGGCTCTGGTGAATTCTCTCGCCCTCCCGCGCTTCTGACTGTACCCAGTGCATGTATAAACAAAAACAAAACAAATAAAGAAAGAAAGAAAGAAAACATGCCTCTATATAAAAAAAAAAAAAAATTCCAAGTCTTAATTAGAGGGTTGGACCTTTCTGCCCCACCCAACTTCCCACCTCCAGGGAGGGGAGAAGAGTTCCCTCACCAATAGACAAGGATTTACTCAATGTGCCTATATTTAAAACCTCCATGAAAACTAAATGACAGGGTTTGGAGAGCTTCTGGGTTGGTGAGCACATCAAAGTGCTGGGGAGTGGTACGTCAGGAAAGAGCATGGCCACGCCACGCCTTCCCCATCCCTTGCCCTACACATCTCTTCCACCTGACTATTTCTGAGTTACATGCATCCTTTATCATTAAACTGGTAAATATAAATAGTTTTTCTAAATTTTGTGAGGGCTGCTAGTAAATTATTGAATCAGAGAAAGAGGGTCATGGGAAACCCTGAATTTATAGCTGATGGGTCAAAACCACAGGTGACAAACTGGGACTTGCAACTGGCACCTGAAGTATGGACAGTCTCCTGTGACTGTGCTCTTAATTGCTGGGGTCTTCACTCCATATAGTTAGCATCAGAATTGCCAGACACCCAGTTGGTGTCAGATAATTAAAGAACTGGTGTAGAAAAATGATGTCTTTGTCAGAAAAAAAACCTTATCAAATGGTTATGTAAACAAAAATCTTTACATACAAGCTGTTAAAATTTAAGAGTTTAGCAATGTTGTTTCTTGGTATTCTGTGTCCAGGTGGGTCACTTCTGAGAGCTGTTAACGTGATGGATCTGATCATCTGGCACAGCCTCCTGGTGTTGTTGCCTCTGTTGCTGTCTGGTCCTGCGTCCAGTGTTGTCCATCACAACTTTCAGCCCGCTGTTGCCAAAGGTTGTTGCAGTATCAGCTCAGCAACCCTGCCCGTGAGAGCCTCCAGCTGCCACTGTGAGTTGGACTGCTGCTTGCCAGTGTGCAGAGAGCCGAGGACCTCATTGACAGGACAGAACTATTTTGAAAGAGCAACCTTTTGTTTGGGACATCTGGACACTGTGGACACTTCTGGGGTGGGACAGACAGCCACGGGTGGCCTTAGAAACTCCATTTCCCATTTGTGGGCCTCCCTGGTGGCACAGGGGTTAAAGTCTTGGCGCTATCAAGCTATCACCAGCCACTGCTGCATGAGTTTGATCCCCAGGCGGGGGGGGGGGGCACCCACATGGCGCAGCAGACCTCTCCTGTCCACTCGCTGCTCCCCTCAGCAGTGCATCTCAGTAAATTCACCTGTTCTGCTCCCCACTCTGTCTCTGGTGAATCCTCTCATGCCCGTACTCTGGCCTACACCCCAGTTGTTATATGCATAAATAAATCTTTTTTTTTTAAAAGTACACACAGTATGTGTATAAAGGTTTTGCTTTCAAAATATTAGTTAAATAAATCATGATACATCTGTAACAATAGAATATATTGGGGGCCTCCCCGGTGGTGCAGCGGTTGAGCGCTGGGTTGCGAAGCTGCCCGCGGCCTCTGCAGCGCCGGTTCAATCCCCGGCTGCTCCCCGGCCACCGGAGGAGGGTCCCACATGGTGCACAGACCTCTCCTGCCGCCCGCTGCTCCCCTCAGCAGTGTACTTCGGTCCTTCTGCCTGCTCTGCTCCCCGCTCTGGCTCTGGTGAATTCTCTCACCCTCCCGCGCTTCTGACTGTACCCAGTGCATGTATAAACAAAAAACAAACAAACAAGCAAACAAATAAATAAAGAAAAACATGCCTCTATTAGAATATATTGGAGATAAAAAAATTAAAAGTAATGATATCCTCTAGGTGTTGACATGGAAACAGACACAGAATATGCTGAGAAGTATAAAAAACAAGATACAAACAACATGTACTAGTTTACTACTCTTCTGTAAGAAAGGCGTGAAATATGAATAAACAAACTGATCAATTTTTGTATTTTCAAAAAGACAAAGTTTTTTTTTAAAGATTTATTTACTTAATGCATACAAGAGCTGGGGGTACAGGCCAGAGGCATGGGGCAGGAGTGGGGGTGAGAGGATCAACAGAGACAGAGTGGGGAACAGAACAGGCAGCTTGATCAAAGTACACTGCTGAGGGGAGCAGCGGGCGAGTCAGGAGAGGTCTGCTGCACCATGTGGGTTGCTCCCTGACTGGCCAGGGATCCAACTTGTGCTGCAGTGGCTGCAGATAGCTTCATAGGTTGTATCTTACTTAACCCTTACGCCACCAGGGAGGCCCCCCAAGACAAAAGTTTTTATACCAAAAAAAGCTAATACAGGGCCTCCCCTGGTGGCGCAGGCGGTTGAGCACAGCACTGTGAAGTTGTCTGCAGCTTCTGCAGCGCAGGGTTGATCCCAGCCAGCTGGCAAGGGTCCCATATGGTGCAGCAGACCTTTCCTGCCTCATATGCTGCTCCCGTCAGCAGTGTCCATGGTCCCTCTACCTGTTCTGCTCCCCGCTCTGGCTCTGGTGAATTCTCTCACCCTCCTGCGCTTCTGACCTGTACCCCAGTTCTTGTATAAAATAAATAAATAAATCTTTAAAAAAAAAAGCTAATACAAATGCTTGTGTATAGGGACAAATGAGGAGGAATGGGATACATGAACACGGGGGTTGTGTTAGCTAGAGTTTTCCAGAGAAACAGAATGCGTGTGTGTGTGTGTGTGTGTGTGTGTGTGTGTGTGTGTGTGTTCAAACTCGCATGGACCTATGTACAAAGAGACAGAGATAAAAAGGTATTGGCTTATGTGATTATAAAGACCAAGAAGTCTCACTTCCTGCAGTGTCAGGCAAGGAGTAAATTCAACTTTCCTCTGCCTTTATGTTCTATGCAGGCCCTCAACAGACTGGATGATGCCCACTTACATTTTGGAGGGCCATCTATTTCACTCAGTCCACCAACTCAAACACAAATCTCTTCCTGAAATACCCTCATAGATACACCCAGAAACAATGTTCAACCATTCCTTAACCAGGTCAAGCTGACACATAAAATTAACCAACACAGGATAGGAGCAAAGCTTCTCAACGTATATCTTTTCACCTCTTCCAGTTTTGAACTATGGGAATGTTGAAGTTATTTTTAAGGTGTTTAAGTTTTGCTATCAAGTCTATTGTTTTTATTGCTTTGCTTTGCTCTGGTCTCACTGGTCGTATGGATGTTGCTTTAAAAAGACATACACTGGGGGCCTCCCTGGTGGTGCAAGGAGTTAAGACACAACCTTTGAAGCTATCCGCAGCCACTGTAGCACAAGTTCGATCCCTGGCCAGCCAGGGAGCTACCCACATAATGCAGCAGGCCTCTCCTGACTTGCCCACTGCTCCCCTCAGCAATGGACTTTGGTCAATCTGCCTGTTCTGTTCCCCACTCTGTCTCTGGTGAATCCTCTCACCCCCTGCGCCTCTGGCCTGTGCCCCAGCTCTTGTATGCATAAATAAATAAATAAATCTTTAAAAAAAAAAAAAAAAAAAAAAAAAAAGGACATACATCCTCAAACTCAGAGCTTTTGTAGTTGATATTCTTCTTAAAATGTCCACTCTACCAGTTCATTCAGGTCACTGTTTAAGTAACTACCTCCTCAGAGAGGTGTTTCCAGATCAGTCTATCTAAAATGGCATACCTCTATAACCTTAATCTCTTTTCTATATTTTTTCTTCATAACACCTACTAATACCTGACATTTTATTTCAAATCTCTTTGCTATCTATTCATTTTCTTTCTCCTTCACTAGGATATAAATTCCATGAAAGCAAGGACATAGTTTTTTTCATTATTATATCTACCCACTTATAACAAGTACCTGTCATGGAAGGCTCTCAATAAATATGTGTCAGGCCTCCCTGGTGGTGCAGGAGTTAAAGTCAGCGCTATCAAGCTATAAGCAGCCACTGCAACATGAGTCCAGTCCTCGGGGTTGAGGGGATTGAACTAATCCACATGACAAGGCAGACCTCTCCTGTCTTGCTTGCTGCTCCCCTCAGCAGTGTATTTCAGTAGGTCTGCCTGTTCTGCTCTCCGCTCTGTCTCTGATGAATCCTCTCACCAACTCCTCCCTCCCCGCCCCCCCACGTACCTCTGGCCTACACCTCAGTTCTTGAATGCATAAATAAAAATAAATATGTCAAGGGCCTCCCCGGTGGCGCAGCGGTTGAGCGCTGGGTTGCGAAGCTGCCTGCGGCCTCTGAGACACCGGTTCAATCCCCGGCTGCTCCCCGGCCACCGGAGGAGGGTCCCGCATGGCGCGCAGACCTCTCCTGCCGCCCGCTGCTCCCCTCAGCAGTGTGCTTCGGTCCTTCTTCCTGCTCTGCTCCCTGCTCTGGCTCTGGTGAATTCTCTCACCCTCCCGGCTTCTGACTGTACCCAGTGCATGTATAAACAAAACAAACAAACAAATAAATAAATAAATAAATAACATGCCTCTATATAAAAAAAAATTAAAAAAAAAATAAATAAATATGTCAAATAAATAAATGAGCCATACTGTTCTCCTTATATTGCACAGTGGACTCTTCACCCTACTTGGCCTCTCTGTAGCATTTGATACTGTACCACTTCTCAGTCTTGAAACTCCCTTTCCTTAGATTATGAGGTCCCCAGTTTTCCCTGTCTGATCATTCCTTTTTGGACTTCTTTTATAGACTCCTTTTCTCTACTTTAAATATTATCATTTTTCAGATTCCCTACTATGGTCAGGTTCTCAACTTCACAGTTCATTACTAAAGCCCCCACCCTTCAACCTCTATACTTCCCCTCTCCAAGTGGTATTATCTATCCTCATGGTTTAATTATCCTCTTTATGTAGAACACTCTCAAGTCTCTCCTCTCTCCATTATCTGCACATATGACTGACTAATGGACATCTCTAGGCATATGTTCTAGAGACACTCAAACTTCAAAATGTGCCAAAAGCCTAAACTGTTCACTTTTCCTGTGTCTGTGGTTTCCCACCCACTTCTTCCTTTTTCTCATCTCAGTGAAAAATGCCACCATTTAACCAAATATTCAGCCTGCAAATTAACTTCCATTCCTACTTCCCTCATAATCTGCATCTAATCAATCACCAAATCCTCTACTTAACAGCAAATTACATATTAAGCACCTACTATGTAATAATAAGCCTGGAGCTAGGTGGTTTTAAGATCGGCCTGGCAGCTTCACAGTGTCAGAGCACTGAGTTGGCATCTCCCTGATTCTCTTTATATTAAGATTCTCAAGGTCTTAAGTTGGCTCCATTTGTTATACCTGCACAGAGCATTTCCACAAGCAGAAAGTAAGAGAAAGGGTTGCAACAGAAGGGCTTTCCTCAAGGATGTGATCTCTTTTGATGGAGAAGGAAAACCACTCCCAGAAATACCCTGACTGACTTCCCTTTGTGTTCTACTGGGCAGAATTTGGTCCAATTGTGAAAGACACTGAGAAACAAGTATTTAGCATCAGGAAACAAGGTTCCCTTAATTTGTCCTCTGGGATTGGGCACATGAATATCCTTAGAGAGGGAGAGTGAGAGCAAGAAAGAGATTCTTTTTTTTTTTTAAAGATTTATTTATTTATACATGCACTGGGTACAGTCAGAAGCGTAGGAGGGTGAGAGAATTCACCAGAGCCAGAGCCAGGAACAGAAAAGGCAGACCAACAAAGCATACTGCTGAGGGGAGCAGCGGGTAGCAGGAGAGGTCTGCGCGCCATGTGGGACCCTCACCCGGTGGCCGGGGATCGAACCGGCGCTGCAGAGGCTGCGGGCAGCTTCGCAACCCAGCGCTCAGAGGCTGCGGGCAGCTTCGCAACCCAGCGCTCAAATGCTGCGCCACGGGGAGGCCCCAAGAAAGAGATTCTCTTAGCAAAGAATGAAAGAAAGTGATTTTTGGAAGGGCAGCCAAGATTGACTGCCATAAAAACAGAATGGAGCTTGCACTCTAAGGAGAAATTTTAAACAAAAATTCATAAATGAAGCTTGAGAAAGATAATTAAGGGTCTAAAGTCATAGCATTATTAACTAACAAAGTTAGCATTGAATCTAGTACCATCTAAAATCAAAGTCCAATTTCTTTCCCCAAGTCAGTGGAAAAAAAGAACACAAAAAGGCATATATAAGTTTATAACATGCAACAAACAAGAATAAAAGGTCAAGTATTTGAAAATAGTTGATGCTTGGTAAATTGTTGCTATTTGTTATTTTTGTCTTTCCTAGAAGAGCTAGTTAAATAAACAAAACATTTTGTGACCTTCTGTATCCAAATCACAATATAAAACTATCCAAAATGCTACTGACTGCTTAGAACAATAGCAAATGGTTGGGATATTAAGTAGCAAAGATGGGGCTGGCTCAAATTGCAACACAGGGCTTCTCACTACCTCAAAGGCTCAAAGAAAATTGTGGGCCTGAAGCTCTCTTGCCTGCTTGTGACCATGACGGTGTTTCTTTTCACCAACCTTTTCCCTTTGCAAAGCAGTAGCTCTCCTGCCCATCTCTGACTATGTAGGTGCCTCTCCTTTCTTCCTCCTTCTCCTAGTAAACCTGTCCTTTAAAAAGAGAGGGAGAGAGAGAGAGAAAGGGAGGGGAGGGAAGGGAGGGAAGGAGGGAGGAAGGAAATTTTTTACAGGCCCTGAAATAGCCTGACAAAATCTTGCATAATCAATTAAAATGTTAAGTCAATAGCTATCAATCATACTGTGCTTATATTCCATCAATAGTTGAATACTATTCAGGTAAGATAAAGTATATATATCTACATAAAATGTAAACAAATAGATCCATGTAAGTTTATGGGTAAAGAGGTGAAAGTCAGCCTTTCCTCTCAGGTACTCAAGAGGTGGCAAAATAAATTAACTACATTTTTCTGGCATAAAGATACCAAATTCAAATATTTAAAGGTCCCTTTTGGTTCTAATACTCTCTGAAACCTGATTATCATCAGGGACCTAAAAAAAAACAACACTCAAATACTTCCTCATTTGCAACAGGGGAATTCACAGATTACAAGGCTAGCAAAGCTAATGGTTTTAGGATGGCATCTGGGGAGACATATAGGCCCACAGGTGCAAATCTCTGCAGTGAAAGCTCTGAGGTTCTGCAGTTATTGCTTTCAAATGGCTTTCATCAAGAGCAAAAAACAAAATGGAGTTCTGCTGGGTGGCTCTCTAACATTTGGTCATCCAGACAAGTTATTTTTCATCTTCTAAGAATAAATGAGAGAATATCTAAATGAGACAGTATTCAAAAACATCTTGTCTCCTATAACCCAGTTTGGGAAATATGTGCAAATTTGGGGTTTGAGTTGAAAAATTTTTAATAGGACCACAAAAAAAATTACAAAAATGAAAATCTCGTTTGCATTCCAGGTTCCTGAGTGGAGATTTTATATAGATATTGTATCCTTACAGAACATACACACATCATTGCAGTAAATGTTATTTGTCTGATATAATGGATAAAGATTTTACCAAATCTGAATAAGGTGAAAACTGAATACAAACTATGAATTTTTACCTAATACAATGTCACAGGGAGGATATTTAAAATAATTCTATATAAAATAATTCTACATAGTAACAGCAATAACTCTCTGCTAGGACCGTTTTAAAACCACTCTTTTACCCAAAATAATGACTTCATGCAATTCTAAGGGTTAGCAATGTAGTTTAAGGCCTTGGAGTAGAGTTTTCTGAAAGAAGGGGAAAAAAAGCTAGGCTATTCCATATAACGTAGGCCTCCTAACAAGATGCTATAACCAACTGATCTATCTTGAGATAACAGTAAGCAGTTAGTTATTGAATAGTTTTACAAAATCCTAAACAGCACAAGGAATCCTTACTTCCTAAGATCCTTCCATATCATGGAATTTCCTCCCTATCCAAGTTTCAGTCCTCACTTTCTCAATTCAGCTACCAAATTTGAAATGTGCCTTGAAATCTTCCTTTTTGAAAGCCTCCCCGGGCTGTGCATAAAGTTAGTGGTTTGCGTTTTAAAATGGGGCCTCCTCTGCCCTTTTCACAGCTTCCATGTTCGATGCTTCGGTTCTCTAAATACCTGCTTTCAACGGCTGGTACTGTTACAGGGCAGGGAGAGGGGCAGCCCAAACCCCGCAAACCTGCCTATTCTAAATGGGTTCTGCCATCCACCTCATCAACACAAAACATGAGACCTCCACCCTCCATTTGGGTGGGGCAGGGAACCTGGAACCTCCCCCTTTCCTGGGGACCACCCTGTTACAGTATCTTTATTTTAAAGACGTGCTTCCATTCAACCCAATAATTCTATCCTTTTTCCTAAACGTCTACGTTATCAGGTAAGAACGGCACAGAACGCCCTGCCTAAAAAGGAACTGAGAAAAGGAAAAGGCAAAACTCACTGACATATTGTAGCAACGAAAATAAGCGGCTGAACTATCGGGACTAGAAGTTTCTGCGTTTCATGGTGGCTCGCCTTTAAAATGGTGCGGACGTCTCCGTCTTAGGGTTCGTCCATATTGAGGCTAGCCTCCGGCCCGGGCCCCATGTTGGTTTGTTCCCAGTCAGCTCCCGCCCCGCGCCCGGCCCCAGCCCGGCCCCGCGCCGCAGACTGCAGCGTCCGAGCGCGCGGGCCCCGCCCCGCAGGCACCCCCTCCGGCCCGCAGGCCCCCCACTCGGCCCCGCAGGCCTCCCCTCCGGCCCGCAGGCCCCCCTCCGGCCCGCAGCCCCCCCCCCTCCGGCCCGCAGCCCCCCCCCTCCGGCCCGCAGGCCCCCCTCCGGCCCGCAGGGCCCCCCCAACTCAGGCCCCCGCCGCCCGCAGGCCCCCGCCCCGCAGGTCCGCACCGGCGGGGGCTCCGGGCCGGGCCCGCCTCTGCGGCGGCCGAGCCCGGCGCCGAGTGGGCGCGCCGGGCGGGAGGAGGGGCTCGTGGCCGAGGCGCCGCCCGGGCCCGCCCGCCCCTCCCGGGGCCTCTACTTAAGTGGCTCCGGCGCCGCCCCCGCCTCAGTGCGTTACTTACCTCGACCCTTAGCTTGTCGAGGACGGTAACGGGGCCCGCCCTGCGTCTGCTCCCGTCTCCTGCGCCTGCCGCTGCTAACGACCGACCATGGTGAGTGGCCCGCGCGCGGCGCCGGCCTCGCCCAGAGGCCCCGGGGAGAAGCGGCCGGGCGGGGGCGGCCTGGCCATTCTAGAGAAGCGAGCCCGGGGCCTAGGTCGGAACGAGAGGAGCCGGGTTTGTGGGAAACGTCGGGGACCCGCGAAGAGGGGGGACCGCCGTGGTTTCTCAAATTTCGGGAATAGTGGGGCGCCCGCTCCCTGCGCACTGAATAGGGCTCTCGTTTAGCTCTTCCTCCTGGATGCGACACCTTCAAGACCCGGGGCTCTTCCCGCGCGTTCCCATCCCCCCATCCTCCCCGGTCTGTGGCGGGGGCGCGCGCGCGCAGGCCTCTCCCGCCCTCGCTTCCTCCTCAGAGCTGAGCGCGGAGGCGGGAAGGAGCCTGGCCCTAAGGCGCAGGCGCGACCGTTACCTTCCCGCCAAGGGACGGCGGGAGGCCGCCCCCGCGCCTGCGCACTTGAGCGCTGCGGTCTGGCAAGAGGGCGTGTCTCCTCTCACCCTGAGTTACTTCCCCCTCCTTTTTTTAATGGAAAAATAAGAAAAATGTGGTGTACTCATTGTCAGTGCTCTACTACCCCGGTGTATCAGGACAACCAGCCACTAACGACTAAAAAGCCGCCTGCTCTCCCTCGAGCCCCGCCGTCTTGTTAGGCGTGCCTGCGGGGGCAGGTGATGGAGGTCGGGGATTTGGGGGGATGGAAATTGGATCTTGGGCCAGATCTCGGCCGCTGATAATCCCCCCGCTGGGCTGTGACAGGTGTGGAGGTGCTGGGCTGAGCCAGCGCCTGCAGGGTCTGGAGGACAGTTGGCCAGGGCAGCGCCCCCGTGACGAGGCTGCTGCTTGCCTCTGCAGCTGCGCAGACGGAATTGCTCATTCATCTTGTGCCGCAGCGCCCCACCCCTGGGCCCTGCGGCCAGACATTTTCTCTGCACTGTTCTGGACACGTGCTTCCTGTGCTGGGGCTGCCCGGAAGTCTGACCGCCTAGACTCAAAATGGGATCTGGGGCCTGAGCACTGGGTGAATGCTCTCTTCCCTGGGGTAGTCCTCCAGAGGAGGAAGCTGTGACTAAGCTCCCTTCTTGCTCTGGAAGTAGACCTTTCCAATTGAGTAGAGGAAAAACTTCTGGCAGCAATAAGTATAGCGAATCCCCTCCAGTGAGAGCGCTACATTTTATTCATTTTCAAAGGGAAACGTGTAAGTTTAAGAATATATAATTTGTTCTGCTTCAGTCACCTGCTACATTGGTTTAAATCCCAATTTTTTTTTCCTCTCTTGTCTCACAGCGTGAGTGCATCTCCATCCATGTTGGCCAGGCTGGTGTCCAGATCGGCAATGCCTGCTGGGAGCTCTACTGCCTGGAGCATGGCATCCAGCCCGATGGCCAGATGCCCAGTGACAAGACCATTGGGGGAGGAGATGACTCCTTTAACACCTTCTTTAGTGAGACCGGCGCTGGCAAACATGTGCCCAGGGCAGTGTTTGTAGACCTGGAGCCCACAGTCATTGGTGAGTTGACCTTAGTAACCCAAACGGGATGAGAACCAAGTGAGTGGGACTGGAGGTGTGTCCTGGGGGCTCCCCTGACAGCCTGGGTGCAGATTGTTAGTGATGGGGCCACTTGTTTCCTTTTCCAGATGAAGTTCGCACTGGCACATACCGCCAGCTCTTCCACCCCGAGCAGCTCATCACAGGCAAGGAAGATGCTGCCAATAACTATGCCCGAGGGCACTACACCATTGGCAAGGAGATCATTGACCTGGTCTTGGACCGAATTCGCAAGCTGGTAAGTATCAGATTTAAATAAGTATTTGAAGTGGGCAAAGGAATTCCATTGCCAGTTTAGTGGCGAGACCAGACTACAGTATTTATTTTGTGCTTGTGAAAACTGGAGTTGGCTTGCTGCTTGCTCTGAGTTAGACTCTAGGTGATGGCACAATTTGCAAAAGTGTCTGCTTACAAACAGTTTAAACTGTTCTTGATTTAAAGAAATGGTTTAAATCAATGGTTCTTGATTTGAAGAAAAAGTAAGTGGATGTCTTAAGTAGGAAAATGCACCCTGGCATTGAATTTTGTTTTCTCTTATCCTGCAGGCTGACCAGTGCACAGGTCTACAGGGCTTCTTGGTTTTCCACAGCTTCGGTGGGGGCACTGGTTCTGGGTTCACCTCCCTGCTGATGGAACGTCTCTCTGTCGATTATGGCAAGAAGTCCAAGCTGGAGTTCTCCATTTACCCAGCCCCCCAGGTTTCCACAGCTGTAGTTGAGCCCTACAACTCCATCCTCACCACCCACACCACCCTGGAGCACTCTGATTGTGCCTTCATGGTCGACAATGAGGCCATCTATGACATCTGTCGTAGAAACCTCGATATTGAGCGCCCAACCTATACTAACCTTAACCGCCTTATTAGCCAGATTGTGTCCTCCATCACGGCTTCCCTCAGATTTGATGGAGCCCTGAATGTTGATCTGACAGAATTCCAGACCAACCTGGTGCCCTACCCCCGCATCCACTTCCCTCTGGCCACATATGCCCCTGTCATCTCTGCTGAGAAAGCCTACCACGAACAGCTTTCTGTGGCAGAGATCACCAATGCATGCTTTGAGCCAGCCAACCAGATGGTGAAATGTGACCCTCGCCATGGTAAATACATGGCTTGCTGCCTGTTGTACCGTGGCGATGTGGTTCCCAAAGACGTCAATGCTGCCATTGCCACCATCAAGACCAAGCGCAGCATCCAGTTTGTGGACTGGTGCCCTACTGGTTTCAAGGTTGGCATCAATTACCAGCCTCCCACTGTGGTCCCTGGCGGAGACCTGGCCAAAGTGCAGCGGGCTGTGTGCATGCTCAGCAACACCACAGCCATTGCCGAGGCCTGGGCCCGCCTGGATCACAAGTTTGACCTGATGTATGCCAAGCGTGCCTTTGTTCACTGGTACGTGGGTGAGGGCATGGAGGAAGGAGAGTTTTCTGAGGCCCGTGAGGACATGGCTGCCCTTGAGAAGGATTATGAGGAAGTTGGTGTGGATTCTGTTGAAGGAGAGGGCGAGGAAGAAGGAGAGGAATACTAATTGCCTTTCTGTCCTGCAGCAATGTCATACTATAATTCGGCTTCAACGTTAGCTAATAGGCACTGAGGCATTCTGGTTAGATTGTGTTTTAACTGTGAATCATGTCTTTTTCCATGTGTATCTGTTTTCTTCATGTGTCAAAATAAAGGCTTTAAGGAAAAAAGTTTGACTTCTGAGCTTTTTCTAAATTGATTTTTCAGTCCTTGATAATACTATACTGCTCATCCAAACCTAGACAAGAGTCTGTAATAGGGATGTAATATGGAGCCCATTTCTGTCTGGCTACCCCTGAAAGGGAAAGGAAGCACACTGAACTGGAAAAGCAGACAGTTTCTGAGACTGGTCTATTAACTACACCTCAGCCACTTTTAGAATCCAGGTCATTAGGGTCCCTGGGAAAATTATGTACTGAAAGTCATTCAAGTCCAGAGTTAATCTGCTCTTGAGGTTATTGAGTAATTACTAGTGAGTTAAATATAAGAGTATTCTGCAAACATGACTGCTTTTCAAAGGGGCCAGCTTAACTAATCAAGGTAATATAAGTCACAATTGCCCCCCTTGGGAAGGAAAATAGCTGTCTAGGGGGGTATTTGAGCATATTATAAAACCTAGCCTTTAAAAATGGAGAGGAAGGGCCTCACTGGTGGTGTGAGTGGGGGTTAACACGCAACCTATGAAGCTGTGTGTATCACTTGTTGCATTCACTGCAGCACGAGTTTGATCCCCGGCCACCCAGGGAGCTACTGACATGGCACAGCAAACCTCTCCTGACTCGCCAGCTGCTCCCCTAGGCAGTGTGTTTCAGTCAGTCTGCCTGTTCTGCTCCCCACTCTCTCTGGTGAGTCCTCTCACCCCCACACACACCTCTGGCCTGTACCCCGTTTTTGTATGCGTAAATAAATCTTAAAAAAATAAACAGAGGGAACTGAATTAGTGACCAAATGGAGTGTAAACTCTTAGTGCTAAATTCGCTACGGGGGCGCCATCTTAAGACTCAAACATCTCTTTTTACAAAGCAAGAGGAAAGCAGCTTGCTTCCCAGGAGGATAGCCAGGTGGCCTAAAGTTAGGGAAGCACACCTGCCCTGTATGTACCATGTGCTTTTTCAGGGTTCTGAGGTATAGGGCAGGGGAGACAGAAGCAAGGGTTTCAACTGCATCTAATACTTCGAAGAGGTGGTTTTTCTTTGAGGCAGGGGCGGGGGCTATTTATATGTTTAATAGGTATAAGGTAAACAAGGCAAAATGTTAAGATAACTTGGTGGTAGGTAGATAGTTGTTTGCAGTTTTATTGTTAGCTTGCTACATAAATTGCCCAACAAGTTTGGCATAAGACTGTGTATCACCTGTTGTTTCCAGGGTCAGGAATTGAG